TATATATGTATATATATATATATATATATGTATATATATATATATATATATATACACCCCACATCTTCTTTATCCATTCATCAGTTGATGGATATTTGAGCTCTCTCTATAGTCTGGCTATTGTTGGTAATGCTGCTGTAAACATCAGGATGCATGTACCCGTTCGAGTCTGTATTTTTGTATCCTTTGGGTAAATACCCAATGGTGTAATTGCTATATTGTAGGGTAGTTCTATTTTTAGTTTTTTGAGGAATGTCCCTAATGTTCTCCAGAGTGGCACCAGTTTGCATTCCCACCAACAGTGCAAGAGGGGTACCCTTTCTCTGCATCCTCGCCAACACCTGTAGTTTCTTGTGTTGTTAATTTTAGCCTTTCTGACAGGTGTGAGGTGGTATCTCATTGTGGTTTTGATTTGCATTTCCCTGATGATGAATGATGTTGAGCATCTTTTCATGTGTCTATTAGCCATCTGGATGTCGTCTTTGGAAAAGTGTCTATTCTTGTCTTCTGCCCATTTCTTTACTAGGTTATTTGTTTTGGGGGGAGTTTTGTGTTTGATAAGTTCTTTACAGATTTTGGGTACTAACCCTTTATCAGATATGCCATTCTCCCATTCTGTAGGCTGTCTTTTAGTTTTGTTGTTTCCTTCACTGTGCAGAAGCTTTTTATCTTGATGAAGTCCCAGTGGTTCATATTTGCTTTTGGTCTCCTTGCCTTCGGTGACATGTATAGTAAAACGTGGCTCTGGCTGAAGTCAAAGAGGTTGCTGCCTCTAGACTGCTACAACCTGATAATATTGCTTGAAATCTGGAATCATGATGCCTTCAGTTTTGTTTTTCTTTTTCAAGATTGCTTTGGCTATTCGGGGTCTTTTGTGATTCCTTACAAATTTTAGGATTGTTTGGTCTAGCTCTGCAAAAAATGCTGGTGGTATTTTGATAGGGGTTGCATTAAATGTATAGATTGCTTTAGGTAGGATAGACACTTTAACAATGTTTGTTCTCCAATCCATGAACATGGAATGCTTTTCCATTTCTTTGTGTTTTCTTCAATTTCTTTAAGTGTTCTATAGTTTTCAGAATACAGATCTTTTACCTCTTTAGTTAGGTTTATTCCTAGATATCTTACTGTTTTTGGTGCAATTGTGAATGGGATTGATCCCTTGATTTCTTTTTCAGTTACTTAGTTATTGGTGTATAGCAGAATTATCTTTCTAATTCACATCTGATTATCTCAGTCATGGTTCTTCAGATATTACCATCAGATTCCTGCCTACATTTCTGGATACATAAATTGGTTGCCATTCCAACACTCAAGTTTTGACCTCTCCATCCTAAAATTTATTGTCACTTTTCCTAGAATACCCCTTCTCAGACCTTGTCCATCTGGTAAACTCCTGTTAATTCTCTGTGGTACATACATATTTGTCATATGTGTGAAGTTTTCCCTGGTTCTTCCAAAACCTGCAACCATTTGTCACAGTCACAAGACTAATTGTTTTCATTTTCCTTACTTCATCATCCTTGGGTTTCATCTTCTGCTTCTGAAAAATTATGCGTCATATCACCAGAGTAAGTGTGGTCTTCTTTTGTGCTTCAAACATTGGGAGTGAGTCACCCTTTCTATTTGATACCCACATTGACCATGCAAAAAGGAATGCCTTCCACTCTCTCTTGTGTTACATTCTCTCCCAATTTATGCATTGATCACAAGCAGAATTTGCCTCTTATTCCTTTAGTAAGAATGTCCTATCCCATGCCTTATTTTTTCTTACAGATCCTCTTTTCCCCTCTAATGAACCAGCTTAAGCTCCTTGGGACTGGAATATGTTTCACTCTGGGTGCCTGGCACTGTGCTCTTCTTGAAAGTATTTCTTCCCTCCACATGCTTAACCGTTGTCCAGAACAAAACTTGTATAATATAGCTCTTCCTTTTTTCAAGGCATATAGTGTGAGGTATCAAGGATAGCCTTTGTCTCTGGTAGTTCAACATTTTAGGTGACTTACATCTGCAGACTCATCTTTGTATCCACTTATTACCACCTTCTATGAATTCCTGGGCCCCCTTACTCCACCAGCATATCTTCGTGGGCTGTGGAGACCCAATTTAGGTCTCCTTTCTGCAATCTTGATGTATAAAAGAAAAATCGTACCAAATCAGTTAAATAAGCAAGGAGGATTTTATTCAAGACAATTGCATTAGGGGACAAACACTATTGTGATAGGAGAGAGCTTGAACTCAACTCTCCTGAAACAAAAGGACTGAGAGCTTTTCAGTGCAGGGGTGAGCTAGTGGAAAAGTAGTAATGGATATTAGTGGAGATGTTGGTATTGTGATTAGGTCATTTTTATTTCTAATCAGTGCTTGTGAAGGCTTCTACCTTTCCACAGAGACTGGGGGATAGGGATGCTATCTTTCTTGATGATTATATTTCATAGAGATAGCTCTCACATCCTAGAGAAAGACATTCCTGGGTTACAGCAGATTTCTGTCCCAAAGGGGCAAAGAACAAATGATTAATTGCAAGTTTTCTAAGTAAATACTCTAGGAAAAAGGAGGTCAGGGGTCTGTAGTCAGGAAGAAACCTGCCTAAAATTTGGTCAAGCAGTTTTAAGTTCATCTTGGTCAGATGGGTAAGCATAAACTAAAAGGTAAATAATGACACATTTAACTTGCTTTCTTGTGGCTTTTCCTGTTCCATCAATAACAATGAAATGGGTCATGCAGTAGGGCAGGTACCATTAGTAATGAAATTTATATACACTTTATTCTAATAATGTGCTACCATTGTGAATAATTTCCCTCTTAGGTCATGTCCTTTTGAGAAGGAATGAAAAAGCACCTCAAAATGAATGCATTGCAATTATCACTGTTTTCTTCCTTCTAACTCACTCTTTATTAAAGGTGAATGCATTTATCACACAGGCAAATGCTTGTGGTTTGATTGATTTGTATTATTGCTTTCTCTGTACTGTAGAAGTTCCCATTAGGGTCTTTCTGAAATGCAGAAAATAATAATTTAGCACCCGGGCTGGGCTGTTTCTAATACAAGTAACTCATACTAAGCTAGAGAGCAGCTAAGTTAAAGACAAAAGGAAGTAGTGAAGTAGTCAGTAAGACAACAGAAGCGATCATAAATCAATGCCACATCTTTATTATTATTCTTATTTTATTTTTCAATATCACCATCTTTAAAGCATACACTTTCAAGGGCGGATCTTGACTATGTCAGGTGATTTTTTTTTCACTTGCTTATTTCAAAAATATGTATTTGACTTATTTTCCCATGCCTATTATATAAAATAGATTACATAAATACAGATAGTGGTCCCAAGGCAGTAGTGATTTTTTTATTATATTAAATATATTATAATTATTACTGTGACCTGACCTTGTAGACAAAATTGCATGCAGTGGGGACAATAAAGGAAAGATAGGAGTTGGGTTGGGGAACAGAATGAGTGGTCAGTAAAGGCTGTCAGGTACAATTAATAACTTGAGCTCTTTAGAAAGTACCCTTAATTGTTTTCCAATTTTATTTTTGTTTGCATTGCCATCTTAGCTTACAACTTCATTTCTTTCTTGCTGTACCACTCCCACACGAGGCTACTTGTCCAAACCCCACCTCCGTTGCCCTCTCCATTTTTGTCTCCACCCTAATCCAAGCCAGCTTCCCACATCTCAGATGGACTACTACAGTAGTATCCTTGCTGATACTCCAATTTTTATTGCCTCTCTACAATCTATGTTTTATACAAAGTAAGCTTTCAAAAATGTAAACCAGACCAAATTGTTCTGCTTACCACCTGCATAACTCTCCTGTTGCTTTTCCATGTACTCAGAATAAATTCCAAACTTGCATTCCAAACCCAATAGATTCTAGACTTTGTCTACCTCATCTACCTAACATCTTACTACTGTCCTCCTGGTTCATATTACTCTTGGCACATCATGCTTTCTATTCCTTGGAACTGGCAAGCTTATTTCTGCTAAGGGGTCTTTGCCCTTCCCATTCCCTCTCTCGGGACAGCTTTGCCACCAGATTGTTGTGTAGCAGGCTGTCTTGCTGCTCATCTCTCAGCACAAATATCCCGTCATCAGTGAGGATTCCCTGATCACTCAATCTATATCAGTCCCTTTCTCCCTGTTCACCCTCTATTCATCACCTTTATCTGGTTTGAATTTCATTTTAATAATTAAATTACCTGAAATTTCCTTGTTTGTGTTTTTGTTTTGCTTGTCTACTGCTATGAGACTATAAGCTCCATAAGAGTAAGGATCTTCCCTGTCACATATACTGTTACAGCACAAGCAGCAAAAACACCCCCAAAACATTGATTTGCTCAATAAATATTTGAGTGAATTAATTAATTTACTAAATAATTATCATGTACTAATGTCCTACTATCTGTGGGGTCCAATATAACATTCATTTGAAGTCACAAATGAATATTGCATGGTCCCATACCTCATGTAGCTTACTGGCTGGCTGGTACCTTTATCTTGGCATCTGGTTACCAAACCATATTTCAGGATATATACTTAACTTTTGTTTGGAAAAGCAAGATGAAATTGATAAGATTTATGGTTAGTTAGATACTTTTGGTTCTCTAAGTGTACTTTATGTTCTACTTCTCTTGAAATGTATTTAGTAGTTGGTGGGAGCCATCAGAGATGTGTTAGCAGGATGGACAGTAGCACAGCATGCTTAGCAAGAGTAAGTTAGACATCTTTTGGCAGAATGGATCGAAGGATGACAAACTGGAGGCAAGGAGACCAGCAATCAGCAATTTTCTGTGATGCAACAGTCCAGAGATGACAGACTAAGGGTTTGAAAGGTAGTATAGTAGTTTTCCTAAATAAATATATTACTACATACACACACACACACACACACACACACACACACACACACACACACAGAGAGAGAGAGAGAGAGAGAGAGATACAGATACAGATACAGATACAGTTAGGTACCCACAAGGAACTTTTTCCTTACTACCTTTATCCTGTATTGAAGTTATCCCATTCTTCAAACAGAGGCTTTTTCTTTTTTTTTTTTTTTTTTTTTTTTTTTTTTTTTTTTACCTTCACACTCATGAACTATCTCTTCCTGTGGTTACATTTTTAGGAATAGATTTTTGGATCTATTTTACTATTCTTAGGTATTTAAAAGCATTCTTAAAATCTCTATAAATACTCAAAATATTCCATATTTTTGGCATAGTTGAAATATCCATAGTTGAGTTTGTCCACCAATGGTCTTTACTCATGAAGTGCTGTTAATTAGGCTTTCTTAACAGATTACCATAATAGCCCTTTTTTAAAATTTTTTTTTGCTTAATGTTTATTTTTGAGAGAGAGAGAGAGAGAGAGAGAGAGCGCCAGCACGAGCAGGGGAGGGGCAGAGAGAGAGGAAGACACAATCTGAAGCAGGCTCCAGGCTCTGAGCTGTCAGCACAGAGCCCGATGCGGGGCTCGAACTCACGAACTGTGAGATCACGACCTGAGCCAAAGTCAGATGCCCAACCAACTGAGCCACCCAGGAGTCCCTGGCCTTATTTTTTGTAAATATTTCACTCCTATCTACCCCCACCCAATACACACACCAGATTGAATCATACTTGTTTCTGAGATGTCCTAACATACAAATCATGTCTAGCCTTATGACATTTTATTTATGTGTCTCATTCATATCTTTTGGTTTTGCTATATGCCATAGCTCCAAGGGTGCCAAAGTGCTAAATCCACTGGTTGTATTTCAATCCTCACTTTATTTGAATTCTTAAAACATTTGATGTTGATGACCAGTCTGCCCTTGAAATATTGTTTTCCATTGGTTTCCATGGCATAACATCCTCTGTTTTCTTTTTTCCTTGACTCTTAGTCTCTTTCTTGTCTACAGGAACATTCTCCACTTGGTCATTAAATAACATTTTCCAAAGCGTAGATCCTCTTCCCTTTTAATTCTGCATGCTCTCCCAGCTGTTACCTTCATGCCCACATTTTTGGCTAGCAAGATCCTCTTAAAGTTAGTGCCTGAATCCTTATGACATGATCCTGCTAGTCTCTGGATGCTTCCTTGCTATCTAGTTTGTGAAGATATTCTAGTGTCTCCTTATGTATTTCCTTCCCTAGACCTGAGGTCAGCCATTTCTCCAGGAAGTCCTGGTTTCTTTTATTGGGAAATGGTATTTCAGGACTATAACTTGGGCTCAGGACTATGTGGTTCTATTTCATCTTTTGTATTTTACGTCTATGTTTCCTTTCTTCCACATTGATGATCATGGTTCTGCAGGTCACAGGGAATGTTAGAATTAGAGTACCCCACATTACAAACACAGCAGCCTCAGGATAACAATTCTAACACTATCACCATCAATATAATATATATATACTGCTTTTGATTTAGGAAATGTTAGTGAGAATGCTAATGAGTATGCATGGATATTCTGATCTGTCTAGAACGTTACAGACATCTGTAATATTTGTTTGTAAATGTAACAGATGGTGCTGACTAGTAGGAATGATTTTTCCTCGGTATTCCCTTCTTTATAGTTGAGGTTGTCAGTGGTTTCCGAGAGAAGTCTTGTGGGGATTCCACACTCAACAGGCAGATTGGTATAATTAGGCTCAGTGAATTTGCACCGTGAGGTGGTGCCAGGTGGAGGTTAGAGGTGGGCCCTCTACTTCTCATTATTTTTACTCCATTTCCTGTAAAGGGAACTTCCAGGCTTATGAAAAGATTCGATCCTTTGGGGATCAGTGGTTCTCCTTTTATATGTTTACTGCCAGTGAATATAGTACTGATTTTGTTTCCTGCTGAAATATATTTTAATGGCTAATCCTTTGAAAGCCTTTTTGAGAGGATCTTAATCATTGTTCAAATAGGGATGGAGGTGTTTGTGATAGATCTAGGATAGAAAAGGGGTTTCACGAATTCATTTTGGAATGACATGTAAGTGTTCATCTATTTGGAGAAAAAGCGAAGCTGAAACCTATTTCAGCGGGAATAATGAGAAGCTGGAGTTTTTGCTCTGGCAGCATCCCTAGCTTCCAGCCCATGAATGATTCTGACTCAGTTTTCTTTTACGATCTAATTTTTTAAGAGCAGCTTTAGGTTCTAATAAGCAAGATTGAGAGGAAGGTATCAAGATTTCCCATACACGCCCCACTTGGTTTTACTGTGTAAACTGTTACTTTGTACAAAGAAATCTTAACATTTGCAGGAAGTTAATGGGAAAAAAAGGTAAAGTCTTTTGAGCTTTTGTGCGGTTGGGTTTGGGGCAGCCAAACTCAAATCTAGCTCTGAAAGCATTAAGGAGAAAGGAAAGAAATTTGATAGTGGAAATCATATTACATACATTTATGATGTGATTTAATAGCTGAGAAGACTGATGTGTGATATGTGGGATGTACTGGATAACCTCTGCTTCTATTTAATGAGACATCACTAACCAGGTATTCCTTTCCTTTTTAGCTACATCTAAACCTGAAAGATATTAAAAACAAAGAAATGTGGAGCAGGAAAAAAATGGAATTAAGTAAATGTTGAGATTCATTTAAAAGAAAGGCTTGTAGGGGCTAAATACATACAACTTGGATTACATCAGTTTAAGAAAGAATGTAACCTCCAAATAATGAAAAGCAGCAAATAAGAATTCTAAAAGCAGGGAAGATTTATTTCATGATGCAGTGGTTTATGACTAAAAGGAATAAAATGAAATAAAGGTATGGGAATTAAGTTTAAAATTATCTGAATATTTACCAATTATGATAACTTGGAAGAAATACTTTTTGTTGTTTGTGTGCATTGAAACTGTCCCTTTGCACACTGCATGCACACTTGCCAAGAAAGCGGAGGTATTTCATGTCCTGCATGTGAGCTGATCTGCATTGAATAGTGGGGTTTGTGAAGGGTTTGAATGGGGAGAATGAGAAGGCAAACCTTAAACTTGACAATTTATTGTATCACATTATCTTCTGATTTAAGTAACTTATTTTGGAAAGCTTGGTCTTTATCAAGTGAATATTCAATTTCAGTTTTGTATTTCTTCCTCTGCCACATTTCCTTTCTAAAGTGACATCTTGCTGTACGGGTGATAGGGCTTACATGATCTCCTAGCAGGACAAATGGGGATCGCATAACCAATCCTCATCCTCTAGACCTTCCTGGGTCCTTGCTGGGCAGTGACTGGTTTGCTTTGCTTTTGACATTGGTGGCTGCTGAAATCTGTCTGGCCAAGACTTGCATTGTGGGTACCACAAAAGCACTTCCAGCACATACCCCTGATCCCAGCTATTTGCCTTTGCTCACCAAATCCCTACACACTGTACTTACTTTGTCCCACCTCTAGCCCTGTTTTCACCTCCTCATATTCTCCCTGGGGCATATGGAAAATTCTGGATTCCTTGTATACCCTAGCAGAAAACATGGTG